CGCTCTTGGTGAGTCCCATATCCTGTAGACCATACACACTCTCCTTGCACCATCCACCTCTCCAGTTAAAGGTTATAGAAGAAACGGATGCTGTGTGCTTCCCGGTATATTCCCTGACCTGTAAAAGTATCCCTTGGAAGCTGTATTTGTCACACTTGTTCTGATGTAGACGGTAGAGTGGGAAGTTATCAGCAGAGATCTGGGTGTCTAATATGAAGAACGGCCTCGTCACCTTTGCAAGCGATGATGTCAGGCTTACAGAAGGTCCCGCCATCCGGTATACAAACCTCACGTTCCACCACGAAACCTCTCTGCCGGAGGTAGCCAGCTACGAACCGGGTGATATCGTCATGACGTTTCACCCGAGCCCCGTGTGTCTTATAGCAGGCCTGGGGTATGTGGCCCCAGAGTCACTGGTCTCTGGCACTCATCGTAGAGACCAGAAGCCCCGGGTCTACCCCCTAGCAGCTCTGGACGAAGTGGCTACAGCGTTTGCCCTAATCTGGGTGGCATGAGCAAAATCTCCTCCACTTAGCAGACGGGTACCGGACGAGACCCACTTGTGGTAGGAAGGAACCTCACAAGCAGACGCAAGGCCGGCACCGTCAACCATGCTGTACAGTTTGCTTTCCAAACCCTAGAGCGCTCAGGAGTACTGTTGGAAGGGGTTCCGGCGGCCGTGGTCGGGTCTACCCATCGACGCATTCACGCTTGGAATGCAGGTAGGAGAGCTGGAGCCACTACCACTTAATCCTCCGACTCATCCTAAGCCACGAGCCGCTTGTTCTTTTGTAGGCGGATTGATGCTGCAAAGTCGGGTATTCCTAGTCCACCGTCCTATACGTCGGCATGGAAGAAGACGATAGGGGTATCGTGAGGCAGCCGTAGCCAGCCACGAATGCCTTGCTGCAATTTAAACGACGTTCGGAAGGTACTTGCTGGTACCCACATTCGATGTTTTGTCCATGATATCGGCTCACGGTCTGGTGAAGGTCATGTTCCTTTCTAACGTTACCGACACCAGACTATGCATTTAAGTTCTCCTAAATGTAAAGTACTTATAGTAACGATGTGGAGACATATGCCGTGATGGACCACCAGAAAGTTTACTTTATGTAGTATTGAATTCGGACAAACTGGAAATGTTTTTTATGTTGATTTTTTGCTAATAATGTCTAACATAATCTAACACCTAACCTAACCTAACCTAACCTAGGCTTAATACAAGCTATCCGAGGCTTATATGAGCTATAAAGTCTCGGGTCTCCTGGAACCCAGGTACATGTGCTATACTAAGGTCTAGGAACATTCAAGTTTGGTTTTCAAACTTATTTTTCCCAGACTCCATAAAAAATAGCACCAAGTAGTTTACAGGGGCTCTAATACCACACAGTTATGAACACCAGCACAACAGGAGGATGGGTTGGCCTGTGAGCAGGTGTTATATATACATGTTTGTATTGTTATCTTCTTATCTTGAGATGATTTCGGGGCTTTAGTGTCCCCACGGCCCGGTCCTCGACCAGGCCTCCACCCCCAGGAAGCAGCCCGTGACAGCTGACTAACACCCAGGTACCTATTTTACTGCTAGATAACAGGGGCATAGGGTGAAAGAAACTCTGCCCATTGTTTCTCGCCGGCGCCTCGGATCGAACCCGGGACCACAGGATCACAAGTCCAGCGTGCTGTCCGCTCGGCCGACCGGCTCCTTGTTGCCAGCAGGTGCCAGCAGGTGCCAGCAGGTGCCTTCCAAACTCCAAGCAAGTTCAGGAAAATATCTGCTTGTAAAAATTTGGGATGGGACGGAGGGAAAGGAATGGTGCCCAACCACTTGGGTTGGACGAGAGAGCGACGGAGTCGCCTCATGCTGGTTGGCGTTCAATCCCCGACGGTCCAAGTGGTCAAGGGCACTATTCCTTTCCTTCTATCCCACCCCAAGTCCTTATCCTGATCCCTTCCAAGTACTATATAATCGTAATGGCCTGTTGTTGTTGTTGTTTTAGATTTAGCTACTCAGAACGAAATGTCCATGTAGCACAGGCTATGGTGAGCCCGTAATTGAGTTCGTTTATTCGCGATAACTTTGTTACTGTGATATTTGGGTCAAAGTTTTAAATGGAGGTGGGGATTCTTCCTTTTTCCCTGTTTCTTTTTCGCTTCTGTTTTAGTGCACTGGTTTTAGTCTTGTTACGTCAAGCCATCGTAATGACGTTGTTGTTGTTGTTGTTATAGATTCAGCTACTCGGAACAAGTTCCAAGTAGCACGGACTATGGTGAGCCCGTAACTTACCTGGCACAGGAGCGGGGCAAGTAGCACGGACTATGGTGAGCCTGTAGTGGACTTACCTGGCACAGGAGCGGTGTGAGCGCTTCTCATCCTCGTAATGGCTGTTGTTGTTATAGATTCAGCTACTTGGAACAAGTTCCAAGTAGCACTGGCTATGGTGAGCCCGTAACTTACCTGGCACAGGAGCGGGGCAAGTAGCACGGGCTATGGTGA